CATCATCCTTCATCCTTCCTCACCTCTCTCTTCCTCATCATCATCATCCTTCATCAAATTGCCTTTTCCCTTCTCCTCTTACTCTCTCACTTTCTCATTCTCTCATCATCACTGTATCCCATCCTTCTTCTCACTATCTCTCTTCTTCCTCCTCCTCCTCCTCCTCCTCCTCCTTCATTACATTACTTCTCCCCCTTTTCCTCTCACTCTCTCCCCCTCTTCCCACTCTTCTCTCCCTACTTCTCACTATCTCTCTTCTTCCTCCTCCTCCTCCTCCTCATCATCATCATCATCATTATCTCTCCCCCTTTTCCTCCCACCCCCTCCCCCTCTCCTCACCCCCCTTTGACCCCCCCGCCGCGCCCGCAGGTGATGACGGGCGCCGCCACCTGCTTCTACGCCTTCATCGGCTTTGACATCATCGCGACGACGGGCGAGGAGGCCGTCAACGCCCGCCGCTCCATCCCCTACTCCATCGTCCTCTCGCTCGTCATCATCCTCATCGCCTACGTCACCTCGTCGGCCATCATCACGCTCATGGGTGAGGATCTCGCGAGCTTGCGGTCTTGCTCTCTCTCGCTCGTTCCTCCTGCCTTCTGCTTTTTCTATTTCGTTCGCGTCCTCGTTCGCGTGCTCTCTCTCTCTATCTATCTATATATCTATCTGTCTATCTATCTCTCGACCTTTCTCTCGTTCTTTCGCTCTCTCTGTCTCTCTCTCTCTCTCTCTCTCTCTCTCTCTCTCTCTCTCTCTCTCTCTCTCTCTCTCTCTCTCTCTGTCTCTCTCTCTCTCTGTCTCTCTCTCTCTCTTTCTCTCTCTCTCTCTCTCTCTCTCTCTCTCTCTCTCTCTCTCTCTCTCTCTCTCTTTCTCTCGTTCTTTCGCTCTCTCTCTCTTTCTCTCGACCTTTCTCTCTCTCTCTCTCTCTATCTATCTATCTCTTTCTCTCTCTATCTCTCTCTCATTCTGTCTACCTATCTATCTATCTAAATGTTTTCATTGGTTTAATATCCTGTAAACAAATCGAATAAAATCCCGTGTAGTCAATACAGCCTTAACAGTTCTTCCTCCCTCTTTCTCGTCTTTCCCCTCCCTGTCTCCATTTCCCTTCATCTTCTTCCCTCTCTTTCCCTTCACTTCCCCCTCCTTCCCTCCATGCCCTCCTTCCACCATCTCTTTCCCCTCCCTCCCCCTACCCCCATGCCTCCCTTTCTCTTCTCTCCCCTTCCCCCCTGCCCCTCCCCCTTCCTCCTACCCTATCCCCACCCCCACCCCCGCCCACCCGCCCGCAGTGCCCTACACGGAGATCGACGAGGACGCCGCCCTGGTCGAGGTGTTCGGGAAGGTGGGCGCCTACAAGTGCAAGAACTTCGTGGCCCTCGGGGCACTGGCCGGCCTCACCGTGTCCATGTTCGGGTCCATGTTCTCGCTGCCCCGTATCGTCTACGCCATGGCCAAGGATGGCCTCATCTTCAAGTAAGATGACTTGCCTGTGGCCCGCGTGTGGGCGGAGCTTCTCTCTGTTGCTCTGGGCGTTGGGTTTTGCCCGAGACAGAGACATTTCGGACACATTCTACGGAGAGCCGGACCGGCACCTCGGCCCCGTCAGCCATTCACTGTCGGGCTCTGTTGCGCCGCAGCCAACGGTGATTGGCTCTCCGCTTAAGGTGACCGAAGTGTTAAGTCCCGCCGGTGGGCCGTCGGGAGGCGGGAAGGGCTCTTGCGGGAAAGGCTTTGGGTTCGTAGGTTTGCTGTGTATAGCGTTCCTTTAGTTGGAATGTATTGCCCTGGTATTGGGTAAAAATTAATGAACAAATAGATTCCTTTTCTCTCTTTTGCTGTAGCTTTGTCCCATTCTTGCATGAGGTCGCTAAAATCAGGCTCTGGCAGATATTATTTTTTTACGGCCGGATGCCCTTCCTGACGCCAACCCTCTTTATTTACCCGGGCTTAGGACCGTCAATGACTTTGGCTTGCTTGCCCACCCAGTGGCTAGGTTAATGAGCAAATAGATGAATGGTATGGGAGTTGGATCTCTGTGTGACACTGTCATTAGGAAAAGAGCTTAGAAACGACGAAAAAAGTAATTAAAGTTAATAAATGCTAGAGAAATTTCCTTCCGGCATTGCCCATAAGATTTTCCCTGAAGCAAGGGGGGTGGGGGAAGAGGGACAAGAGTTTAAGGCCGTCTATGGTGTGTCCAATCTCCAGAAAGGAAAAAAAACAGCACCTCACCTTGCGTCTGGAGTACTCCGATTCGCTAATTCCTCATTCTAATCAGCTAACACAACATTTATGTTTTTTTTTAATGGGTGTTTTGTATTTTGCAAACTGTTTTTTTTTTTTTTTTTTTTTTTTTTTTTTTTTTTTTTTTCTTAATCAAAATTTGGGGCTTTGAACACTATTTTTTTCCCCCTAAATGAGGTAGGGCAGATCGGGGTCCTCTAGAACCCAGGTGAGCTACCCATGTTAATTCCTGAGTGTGGGAGGAGTGTGAGCTCTTGCAGGAAACGAGGAAAGCGACGGCCCTTTGCCCTCAGCTATTCTCTCCCCCCCACAGGAGCCTGGCTAACGTGTGGCCCGTGACGGGGACGCCTGCCGTGGCCACCGTCGTCTTCGGCCTGGGCGCCGCCTTCGCCGCCATGTTCATCTCCCTCACCGTCCTGGTCGAGATGATGTCCATCGGTAAGTCCCTCTGCAGCGCCTCCCTCGCGGATGCAGCGCTCGCATGCTGCTGCCGCTGCTGGGGCTTCATTTCCTTTGTTGGTATATATATATGTGTGTGTGTGTATGTGTGCGCATGTGTGTGTGTTTGTGTGCATATGTGTGTGTGTGTGTGTGTGTGTGTGTGTGTGTGTGTGTGTGTGTGTGTGTGTGTGTGTGTGTGTGTGTGTGTGTGTATGTGTATGTGTATGTGTGTGTGTGTGTGTGCGTGTGTTTGTTTGCGTGTGTTTGTTTGCGTGTGTTTGTTTGCGTGTGTGCGTGTGTGCGTGCGTGTGTGCCGTACAAGCGTGTATGTTCTGGCACCCTGACTAGAGCCGCCCCTCCTACAGGTACGCTGCTGGCCTACACCCTGGTGTCGACCTGTGTGCTGATCCTGCGTTACCAGCCGCACTCGACCACCCTGCTGGAGATGCTGCCTGAGAGCATCCGCACACCCATCAGTGGCACGCCCCTGCCCGGCACGCCCACCAAGTCGCTCAGCCAGGTGAGGGCCGCCCAGGGACCGCGAGGCAGCGAGTTCGGTTCAGGGAATTTCAGTAGTTGCCAATGTTATAAACGGGTGTGTATTTGAGGGGGATTTGTTTATGTTTGTGTGTGTGTGTATACATACACACACGCGTATGTGTGTGTGTGCACACTCCGCTACTAAATAATAAATGTATTATCATCTAGATACCTTAGCTGACTCCCTTCCACGAGTGATGAGAGCATTTCAACTGAGCTTCTGAGGCTCAGTCGGGGGCACAGGGGCCCTTGACCCCCTCCCCCTCCCCCTTCTGCTCACTAGAAACCCAGAGTGTCAGTGCCCCCCCTCCCCCTCCCCCACGGTCTGCCCCCCTTTCTACCTCTGGCTTTCCCATTTCTCTACGGTCTAGATCTCCCCCCCCCCCCCTCACTGGCCCTAAAGCCTTCAAAAGCCAGCGAACTATCTCTGTCCCCAGCCCAATCCCCCTCCCCCCCGCTCCCCAAAGCCCGAAGAGGCCAGCTCCCCCCGGCCCATTTCAGCCCCAAAGCCTGAAGGGGCCAGCTCCCCCTGCCCCCCTCTGCCCCAAAGCCCGAAGGGGCCAGCTTCCCTCCGCCCCAAAGCCTGAAGAGAAGCCCGGCTGACCCGCTCTCTTGTCCCGCGCGCAGGCAGACATGACGGCCGCGCTGGGGGGGCGGCAGAGCAACCTGCAGGCGGTGTCTCCAACGCACCTGACGGCGGCGCTGCAGCAGAACGGGGGCGGCAGGATCACGCCCTCCGGCCTGCCCCTCGACCAGAAGATCACGGTGAAGGTAACTTTGGCGGGAGATGGTGGGTAAGGTAACACTGAAGGCTAGGTACATATAGCCAGGTAGCTCCACGTCCATCCGGCCCGTTGAACCCAAAAAAGATATTGACTTTTTCCTTAGAGTATTCTAACGGACGGGAATTTCTGGTACTTCTAATAATATCAAATAAATTAAAGAGAAAATTACATATCTAGATATATTTGACATCTCATTAGCAAAGTGTGATAATGCCATTAGCTGCACCCCTTATGATCGAAAACGAAACCAGAAAAAGAGGTGGGCTTAGCTCAGACGTTGCCGACTAGGATTTTCATCAAGACAGAGTGGGGCTACCTGAGTTAAACTACCGTCGAGGTACCTTTGGCGGGAGACAAAAGGAACTTGTCCGAAAGGGAACGGTAAAGACAACTAAATAGGGAGACGGTACAGGTAACTGGGTTTGCTATCCAACAGTGAAAGTAGCTTTGGTAGGAAACAACGTTAAAGATAACCTTGGCGGGAGAGAGCACTGAAAGTGACCTGTATGGGAGGTAACGGTGAAGATAACTAAGTAAGGGGACGTTACTTGAAAGACAGCGGTGAAGGCAGCTTCGACGGGAGACAGCGGCCATTATTTTCGGAAAGGTAATGGTAAAGATGGCCTAGTCAGGAGAGGTCTCGCTGGTGAAGGAAACTTGGTCAAGACTTTAAAAGTTACTTAGGAGACAACAGCGAAGATATCTTAGTCTAGAAATAAGGGTGAAGGTAGTATGCTGTGAAGACGATGGTAAAAGTAACTTAGAAGACGATAGCAATAAGATTAATTAGACGAGAATGAAAATGTAATTTATGCATTTCTGTTTATATCTCCATTTATACTACGTACCATACAAGAGAATACTAAAGCGAAGAGGTAATAAGGAAAGTCTAAAGACAGAAAGGTAAAAGCAACATAGGAAGAATTAACCCCATTTCCTAGGTTCTTTTCTCTTTAGTGAACTGTTTTGGGAAATGAGCCTATAACAGATATTTTTCTCTGTCCTCTCTCTCTTTCGAATGGATATTACTCTCTCGCTCTCTCTCTATCTTTCCTTTTCCCTCCCTCCCCCACTCCCAGCTTCCCTCCCCCTAATCTCTCTTTCTTTCCCTCCCCTCCCCCCACACTCTCTCTATCTTTCTCTCCCCCCCCACTCTCTCCCTCTCTAACCCCCTCCCTCTCCCCCCCAGCGCGTGATGCGGTCGTCCCCCGACTCGGACGACACAGGCAACACGGAGGAGAACAGCGCCGAGTCGTCCCGCCGCGAGGACGACTACATGGTGAGCGACAAGTGCGAGAACAAGTACTACGGCGCCGTGCCCACGTCCGCCGGGCAGGCCAAGTGGTACGACAGGTCAGTAATGATAATGATAATTAGGATGATGCTGAAGATCATGATGATCATGATGATCATGATGATGAAGATCATGATGATCATGATGATGAAGATCATGATGATCATGATGATGGTAAAAGTGATGATATTAATAACGACAGTAATAATAACAATAGTGATAACATGTGTAAAAAAAAAAAAAAAAAAAAAAAAATAGAATTCAAGAAAGATAAAGTAATCGGATTCAGAAGTCATCTGCAAAGGCACGTGACCAGGACCTTTTGCCGGAGCACAGCGTCTCGCGCCCTGCAACCTCTGCACCCTTTCGTCTTGTAACCTCTTTACCCCTTCATGGAGCCTCCGGAACAACCGACTCCCCGGTCTCGGCTGCTCAACTTCTGAATTTTCTATCTATTTTAGGAATAAGTGAAGAACTTTAATGTACTATCTGTACGAGTTTCATTTACTTGTTCGTAATAGAATATTGTTTTATATTTTAAAATGAACACTAGTAAGCCCCTAGGAAATCGACCTGGGCTACTTTTCATAGGGCCCGAGCCTTTGCTCTTAAAAGAGTTATTATCCTACACTACAATATCATTTGAGCTAACTAATTTAACATTAACAAAAACTAATTTTTTAATATAGATCCAATTACTTTAAAACACCAACCCATTTTAGGTTGGTATCCCCTTTGGTACAACTCATCCAACACATTTTAAGCTGATATCCCTTTTGACACAACCCAGTCAACACAAGATCAGTTAGTAAGCTTTTAAGCATACATAGAAACAATTGATCCAAACTCCGGATCCAGCAACTTGTATTTAAATCCGTCATAAGGCGTATTTTTTGGCGGCAAGATATAACAAAATTCCTTGGAAAAAAAATCCTGAAACTTCTCGTTCATTTCTCTTTTTGGATGGAACTTTTTGTATCAGATATCTAGATTTATTCCATAAGCAAACCAAGCCTTTGCGAACTGCCTCCAGAGGAAACGCCGTCGAAAGCCACGACCCCCAAATGAATCTCGTGTCCCGCCCTCAGGTACGTGGAGATGGTGCAGGTGATGTTCCCGTCGCTGTTCCCGTGGGTGGAGGAGGGGCCCTGCACGGAGGAGACGGGCCGCCAGGTCATGAAGCTCGTCGGTGAGTCTCTCCGCGACGCCCCAGCAACTCCTCGGGTGTTGTCTGAGGACTAGACCGCCAAATCTCAAAAAAAAAAAAAAAAAAAAAAAAAAATGGCAACTCACTCTTGATTCTGGGGAAATAAACAATAACTGGCAACTCAATCCGGACTCCGGGGCACTCCGATTCGTTCAGTTAGTGAAAAATAATAATGTCTCTTAGCTTTTGAAAATAGAAAACATGTTTAAGACATCATTATTATTTTCTTTATTGAAGAAACTAGAATGAGTTGCCAGTGTTTTCTCTCCTGAGATTAGGGTAGGCTGTAAGGATAAGCTTAACATCATAGTAGTGTAAGTGTAGTTTAACGAGCTTGAGAATGTAGTCAGGCTAGAGACTAAGCTGACAGGGTGTTCTTGAGAATAGTGTTAGTCTGACGAATTTGAGAATGCAGGGAATACAGTATAGAGGATAATCGTAATCCATTAGAAATGTTCAAGCAGCCTGGAAGGTAATCTTAATGCATTACTTATAGCCTAGAGGATAATCTGTTATCTAGAAGGATAATTCAGAAGAAAATCAGGGAATTGAATAAATAAACATCCGTCGAATACTATATTATTTTCATGTAGTTTACCTTTTGTACCTTCTTTGATAAAAAAGAAGTCCCTGAAACCAGGATATTTTGCTTACTCTCTTTATTTACTTTATTGCATTTTCTTTTCTTTTTTCGTCATGTTTGCTCTTATTTATGTTTATTTCCTTTTTCGCCCTCCATAAGTGTGCTGACCGCGCCCTCCCTCCCGCAGGACTCCTGTACCTGAACGTCCTCATCCTTGACTCCATCCTTGTGCGCGACCTGAGCCAGCTCGAGGGCCACTCCCCCGTCACGTCCTTCTTCTGCATCATCTTCTTCCTCAGCATCATCTACATCCTGCTGCGCATCTCCCGGAAGCCACAGAACAGGTGGGCGCTGAAGCAGGGGCTCACACGGGGCCTCGCTGCCACCTGGAAGGCCAGAAATATTT